GACCTGTACCAATGGAATTAGACTATGCCAGAAGCTCTTCAAGTAGTCAACATCATGGAAAAAAAAAAAGGGAATTGTTTTAAGTGTAGAATGTCATGACATTATGCAAAAAACTGTAGAAGCAAAAGAAAGCAAAAACTTACCAATATCAAGGATGAACCTAACCAGCCACCACATACTATAACCAACAATAGCCTAGAACTAACTCAGGTAGAAGAAAATTGCAAATGGTTATTGAAATTTAATGGCAAAATCAATAGTCACTCTGCTTGGATCCTTTTTGATAGTGGAGCGTTCCACAATTTTATTGACAAAGATTTTGCCACCCGGAATAAACTACCATTAAAAACTGTTTCTCCCTTATCAGTTAAATTAGCAGATGGAAGCAAAGCACAAATGGATAAGACATTTAACATAAATAAGTTAGAACTAGGTTCTTACTACACTTCCGGGATATCAGCACAAGTCTTGAAGCTTCAATGTTACGACACCATTCTAGGAAAACCATGGTTGTATCATGCCAACCCCAACATCAATTGGAGGAAAAATACCTTGGTTTTCCAGTATGGGTCCAAAGTTATTGAAGTCCAAGCAGACTCCTAGAAAACACCTAAGGATCCTAGTTGTAACTCGGTATTCATATCCTGGCAACAATTAGCCAAAGTGCCTAATAGTGAAGAAATTTTTACTATATATATTAGTCAAGAAAGTAATAAAGACACCAACACCTAACAACCAGAAGTCCAAAAGATTCTTCAAAATTTTAAGGATGTTTTCCCTAAAAATTTACCTGACCATTTGCCCCTAAAATGAACCGTTGACCATGCCATTGATCTTGTACTAGGTTCAAAACCCCATCTCACCCCATCTACTGAATGTCCTATGAAGAATTGGATGAATTAAAGCGCCAGTTAGCTGAACTATTACAGAAAAACTTTATTTGCCCCAGCACTTCCCCGTTCGACACCCCAGTCCTTTTCGTCCATAAGAAGGAAGGAACCTTGAGGTTATGTGTTGATTACTGGGCCTTAAATAAAATTACCATTAAAAATAGGTATCCCCTTTCCCATATTGACGAGTTGCTAGACAGATTAGTTGGTGCTAAATATTTCACAAAAATCGACTTGTATTCTGAATATTATCAAATTCGGATTAAAAAGGAAGATATCTATAAAACCATCTTTCGTACCTGTTATAGCCACTATGAATTCCTTGTATTACCCTTTGGCCTTACAAATGCACCTGCTACATTTATGGCCTTAATAAACAATATTTTCAGGAAATACCTTGATAAATTCGTAATAGTATACCTCGATGATATCCTTATATATAGTAAGATGAAGCGAGACCATATTTATCACCTTAAAAAGGTTTTTGAAATCCTTAAAGATCATAAGTTGTATGCAAAAATTAGTAAATGCGAATTTTTTAAAGAAGAAGTAGAATACCTTGGCCATGTTATATCAGCTGATAGACTTTCAGTCAATAACAAAAAAATCAACTCCATCCGGAATTGGTCTACGCCTACTAATATCTCTGACATTCATTCTTTCCTTGGGTTAGCTAGTTATTATAGAAAATTCATAAAAGGGTTTTCAGCCATTGCAACACCCCTTACACAATTACTTCATAAGGACCAGCCTTTTAAGTGAGAACAACCTAAAACGGTTGCTTTTGAAACCTTAAAGTATCAACTCACCTCCACCTCAGTTCTAATTCTTCATAACTCTGCTAAACCATTTTTTATAACTACAGATGCTTCTGATTATACTATCGGTGCTGTCCTTAGTCAAGATCACAGTAAAGGCGATCAACCAGTTGTCTTTGAATCAAGAAAACTTTCACTAGCCAAGTTAAATTATCCTATGCACGAGAAAGAGTTATTAGCTATTGTTCATGCTATTAAACTATGGAGGTTATATATTGAAGGTCGTAAGTTTACTGTAATCACAGACCATGCTTCGTTAGAATACATTAAGTCTCAATTCCAACTGTCACAAAGGCAAGCTAGATGGTTAGAAGTATTACAGTCAATGAACTTTGATGTAAAATATCAACCTGGTAAAAATAATACCATAGCTAATACATTGTCTAGACGAACACACCTTAATAATATCATAACAGTTTCTATTCAGCTAGCTGACCAAAATTTTTTAAAACATGAATATCTTAAGGATCAGTATTTTTCACCTATATTTAAAATTTTAAATGAAGAATTTGTTAATAATCCTAAACAACAAGTACGCGTAAAACATTTTGAATTAAATAACGAGAAAGTATATTTAAAAGAAGGGTTTAGACTAGCAATCCCCTTTAATAAGAAATTAAGAACACACCTACTCCAGGAGCATCACAATATCAAAACTGCGAGTCATCTAGGAATAGATAAAACATATAAACTTATTAGTAGATATTATTTTTGGCCCAAACTTCACACTGATGTAAAAAAATATGTAGGAAGTTGTGACCAGTGCCAAAGAAATAAGAGTAGTAACCAACAACCCATCAGTCTTCCACAACCCTTAAATATCCCAAAAAGGCATTAGAAACAAGTCACTATGGACTTTATAATCCAATTACCTTTAACAAAAAAAGGATACGATGCAATCGTAGTATTCGTCGACAAATTAACTAAACGGGCTTACTTCTGCTCCACCCACACTACAGTAACAGCCCCAGAAGTGGCAAAAATTTTCTTTTCAACTATTTTCAAAAATCACGGTCTCCCTGAAGCAATTGTATCAGACCAGGATCCCAGATTCACTAGTAAATTCTGGCAGCCACTCTTCACACAGTTAGGAACTAAATTAATTATGTCAACTGCGTTCCATCCACAAACAGACGGACAAACGGAGAGAATGAACAGAACGTTAGAAGAAATGTTACGAATATATACAACATATAAGCAAGACCAATGGGACGAATACTTACTAGCTGCTGAATTTGCTTATAATAACTCCAAGCAGGTGTCGACAGGATTCACTTCCTTTGAATTAGATTCAGGACAACACCCAATCACGCCAACCACATTAGCAGCTGAAGCCCCATGCAACGTACCAGCAACTAATGATTTTATAAAACACTGGGATAACATGATCAAAGCAGCAAAGGATGCCTTAACCTTAGCTCAACAAAGACAAACCTAGTATGCGAATCAACGACGTTGGCACTTAGAATTTAATATAGGAGATAAAGTGTTGCTCTCAACAAAAAATATTATTAGTCCAATCGACAAACAAAGACCAACAAACAAGTTATCGCCAAAATACATAGGGCCTTATCCAATCGTAAAAGCTGTTTCAAAAGTTGCATATAAACTAGACTTGCCAAACAACTAGAAAATTTTCACGGTGTTCCATATTTCACTTCTAAAACTATACAAAGAATCAAAAGATTTCAACAGACCAACGCCCCCACCTGTGATCTTTGTACCCAAAACCCAACAAGAAGAATACGAAGTCGAATCCATCCTGGATCAAAAGGTAATAAATAAAAGAACATACTATTTAGTAAAATGGCTTGGCTACCTGTTACATGAAGCAACATGGGAACTCTTGGAAAACTTACAAAACGCCCCTACAAAAATTAAAGAATTTGAAGATCAATGTAGACGTTGATTTTAAGGGGGGGAGAATGTAACAAGCCACAGCCACACATGCTCTAAATTTTATGTGTATACGTATTACATAGTATGCACAATGATAGACGTTTAACGAACATATCACGTGGACAAGCCAAGTTAATACATAAACTGTTTAGAATTCGATACTATTGTTATTTTATAATTTATGTAACCACGGCCCCTGTCATTTACACTAATATAACGATTTATTATTAGCGTAACAATCATATTATTTACTAGCATAACGATTGTATCATCATATTTATTATATGCCCCCTTATAAGTTACAGTATGCTCCCAGAAAATAAGATTATTAAGATCGCGATGCATTAATATTTATATTAATAACCCACAACTAATTTATTAACAAAACTTATTGTGTACTTTTAGCTCCATGTATTTCTTATAAATTTGCAAATGTTTTCCTTATATAAAAACAACTTGTAAGATTAATAAAACAAAAATAAAGATAACAATTTAAATAAAAGAATAAAATCGCTTACG